GGACATGCTTGAAGCTCTAGCAAGGCACTTCGAGATGGAATATTATCTTCTTGTGCAGAGTTTTTCGCTAATTCACATTTTCAATTTTTGCCCAATAACTCGCTTCAAAGAGTCAATGCAAGTTTAAGACAATCAGCAACAAATTGAAAACAGATTTGCGATCAGCGAAAAATTCTGCACCAGGTGGGCTCGGTCCCAAGTGGAATTTAGCAGCCTATGTAAAAACGCGTTACAGTAAGTTAATTTTCAGCTGGGGTGACCAGGTCCTCTGGCCAGCACGCGGTGCCAACCTCACAACTCGTTGCGGCACAGTTGATGTAAGAAAATTCAGGAACGTTTTGAATGCCTGAATTCAGTGGCCGATGGAGACGTGCGATAACGGAAACCAATGTATCCACATGCACTTCACCGTCACCGCCTTCAAGAGACCGTTCGACGTCGGGATCCGGAACTGCTTTACCGATCCCGGTGACAAACCCCTTTTTATGTTCGTCAAAAACCCAAATTGTAAGTGTTGCGCAGGTCCGAAACCTAGCTTCGACTGACCGAAACTGCGCAGGCGAAAGGAGTCCGAACATTTGCAAGAAAAGATGATATAAAGGAAATTTCAGTCACCACATGGGTTCAGTTCTGCAACGCCACGCTGTGCAACACGCTGACGACGGACGAGTTGAAGAAGGACACCCGTGGCGCCGCGGGTGCTACCTCTACCATCATGGTTTTTATGGCAATCTTCGCACGTTTCCTTTCTATGTCCTAAGCCTTTTGTAACGGCAAATTATGTTTATACCATTGTATATTTGTAAAGTATGAGTTGCAATAAAAACCTTGGTCTTCGACTAATACAACGCGCCTTTCCTTTCTTTGTTGATTTCGATATTTTGAAAAGGTGGCCGATCACCTGTTCGAAAATCATCTGTTCGAAAACCATCTGTTCGAAAATCATCCGTTCGAAAATCATCTGTTCGAAAATCACCTGTTCGAAAATCATCTGTTCGAAAAGTCATCTGTTCGAAAAGTCATCTGTTCGAAAATCATCTGTTCGAAAATCACCTGTTCGAAAATCATCTGTTCGAAAAGTCATCTGTTCGAAAAGTCATCTGTTCGAAAATCATCTGTTCGAAAATCATCTGTTCGAAAATCATCTGTTCGAAAAGTCATCTGTTCGAAAAGTCATCTGTTCGAAAATCATCGGTTCGAAAAATCACCTATTCGAAAAAGGTCCCAAATGAGGAAAAATTTTATGGGAAGCTATTGCTACTAAAATGCTGTGTTTTGCATGTTTCGTGGCGAAGTTGGAGGAAAATCTGAAATTGCGCGGCTATATCGAATCCTCCGCCAAGCCAAATAAGCGCCCGAGGGTGACCATCGACGAGCAGCAGCAGCTCTGCGAGAACTACAGCAAAGAATATATGGCCGAGTTCCTCGACAACATCGCCAAAACTTTAACCTGAATCTTCATGAATATGTCTTTTTTGTGTTTTTTAAGTTTTTTTGTCATGAAAAGTCTTTTCAAAAAAAACGTGAATTTTGGAAAAGTTGTTGCTTCGAAAACGGTGTTTTTTCGAACAGATGATTTTCGAACCGACGATTTTCGAACAGATGACTTTTCGAACAGGTGATTTTTCGAACAGATGTCTTTTCGAACAGATGATTTTCGGACAGATGATTTTTCGAACGGATGATTTTCGAACAGGTGATTTTCGAACAGATGATTTTCGAACAGGTGATAGGGAATCTTTTGAAAACGCTCTTGGATCGAGGGCTAAAAATAGGCTCGGAGCTCCTTTACAGCAAAAATTAACTTACTGTCAAAACTTCAATTGTTTTTACACCCAAAAACAATTGATGTCTAAAACGATTTATATCAAAGAAAAACTTTGAGGCTAGACTTCGCCTTACCCCTCCCCTCCACCCGAGGATGCCAAATTTTTCAATATTTCCGCTTGTTTACTGTGATTTTGGTCCGGCCATTCGCTAGAGCGTCAAAAAACATACTAAAGGTTTTGATTACAACCGACAATCAAAGTCATAACGAAGCGTTTTTGCGATAAAGTTTTAACAACTTTGAGTTTCCCGGCCGCTATTTTCTAAACCCTGCTACCATATGTGCACATTTTCCCCTTTTTTTGTCGCATTTTCAAATATTTTTCGCCGATAGCTAAATGAAAGATCTGGGCGCCAAAAGACGTGTGCTTTTCTCTTGGCAAGACGCCAGTGGTTCTAGCCTGCAAGAGTGCCCCCCGGCACAATCCAGTGACCTGTCGGGCCAAAATCTGGGCTCGGGCGGATAAACCCATTTTCGCTGGTGCACTTTATTATTTTCCCTTTTACAGCTAGGTAGCAATAGACCTTACTTTTTATGGACCTTTTAGTATGATGGCTGCCCGATTTCGCGTACTTCTACTGCTCCCCTGTCTCCTCGGCTCATACATCCACGGCACGACCGCCCAAAAATGTTTCAGTTGCTTGCAAGGAGATCCGGTGATGCTGAAGAAGCTTGAATATGTAGAGTGAGTGCTTTTACCTTCCCCGAAAGCAACAACATGCGCCAAGATCCAAAATATTTTTCAGATGGGGTCACGAGGTCATTGGGCCGGCAGAAGGTGCCAACCTCACGACTCATTGCGGTACAGTTGATGTAAGAAATCTCAGAAATGATTTGAATGCTTGAATTCAGGGGCCGATAGAAACGTGCGATAACGGAAACCAATGTATCCACATGCACTTCACCGTCACCGCCTTCAAGAGACCGTTTGACGTCGCGGTCCGGAATTGCTTTTCAGATGTTGGGTATCAGCCCCTTTTAGCGTTTGTCAAAGAAGCAAATTGTAAGTGATGCGTGGGTTAAAGTACCGGAAAGTGTACGGAAATCTATTTTCGGAATTTTGAAGAATTTCATTTTTTTCAAATGCCAAGCGACACAAGGCTGAAAAATACAGGGTGTCCCAATAAAAAGCTGCCACCCCTAACTCCACGCAGAAGTATCGGATCGGAATGATAGTTACACCATTCGAACGCCCTTGAAACGGCCAGTTTGCAACAATTTTCTAAACCATCTTTTATTCTAACGCGCCAGTTTACAACTTATTTCAAACATTAAGAAACGGCTTCTGCATCTAATTAACGGCGGCCACTTCGGGTCGTTTTACTTGGAAAAATTGAGGCAAGTTAGCTCGTATGCAACCCTCAAAAACCGCAAAATTTTCCAAAAAAAGGCTTGTGAAATCACGCACTGAAATAGAACATGGTTTTGAACATTGTTGCAAACTGTATGTAAAGCCAAAAAAGCACAAGAAGTTACAAAATGGCTTGTAAGATGACGTATTTTAATGGAAATATGGTTTTGAAGATTGTGGCAAACTGGCAGTTTTAAGGGCTTTCGAATGGTATGACTACCATTCCGATCCGATACTTCTACGTCGAGTTAGAGGGGATGTTTTTTTTGGGGCACCGTCAGGGGCGTACGAGGGGGGGGCAACAGCGGCAAGTTGCCCCCCCAAAATCGGCCGAAGGCCGAAAAGTTCATAAGGGGGGACCCTTATGATTTTTTCAATAAAAATTTTTCTGCCTGCGGCGCTGTTTATTACTGTTTTTAAGACGGTTTTTACTTCTATGAAGCCTATTTTTCCTAAATTTTTTGCCTGCGGCGCTGTTTTTCATTTGTGTGTAAACTGTGCATATAAAATTTTCGCCTGGGGCACGTTTTCTGTGAAGTTTTTACATGAATTTGAGCGTTTCTAACGCTTTTTCCTTATTTTTTTGCGGCCTGCGGCGCTGTTATAGCTGCGATTTTTGAATGTTTTGAAAGTGGTGTCCGGGGAGGTCGACAAAATTTTCGAGTTGCCCCGTGTACGCCCCTGGGCACCGTGCATGCGCGCAGCTTTTTTCAAGCCGGAAAAAGCCATATGCAAAACCATCTTTAATTTTAAAATTGGATGCACCCGCATGTTATATGTCCCTCCGAGTCCACTAGAAAACAAAAACCAATTTTCAGTCACCATGTGGGTTCAGTACTGCAACGACACGTTGTGCAACACGTTGACGACGGACGAGTTGAAGAAGGCCACCCGTGGCGCAGCGAATGCGACTTCTACGACCATGGTTTTTATGGCAATCTTCGCACGTTTCCTCTCTTACTTCTAAACCCACCTCTAGCCGAAAAATGTGGATACTCTTGTAAATGCTTAAACTATGAGTTTTTCCTAAAATTCCTGACTTCCGGTAGTACATCATCGCTCTTCTCCCTTTTTTTGTTGTACTCGGCCTTTTTATGCGAATAAATGCTGGTAAAACCAATTGGAACTGAGTATTGGGTTCTCTGCCCTTAAAACTTATCTAAATATTTAAAAACTATGTGAAATTGCGTTATAATTTGTTTTGAATTATGCCATTTTACGGTTGCGGCTATGAATGCAGGCTGCGGTTTTGCTGGTACCTCTTTTTGAATTGCAAGATCTTTCTCCCTCTCTCTCTCTCTCTCTCTCTCTCTCTCTCTCTCTCCCCTTTCTTTCTCTCCCCTTTCTCCCGCGCTCACACTACCACCCTGTCGGAAGCGCTTTGGTGTAAACGCATAATTAGACAGATAGAGAGAGAGAGAGAGAGAGATAGAGAGAGATAGAGAGGGAGGGATAGACAAATAGATAGAGAGAGAGTGACAGATGTAGATAGAGAGAGCGAGAGGGCGAGAGGGCGAGTGAGAGAAAGACAGGGTGAGATCTATCTATCTATCGCTAGCCCCTCTCTCTCTCTCTCTCTTTCTCTCCTCTCTCTCTCTCTCTCTCTCTCTCTCTCTCTCTCTCGTTCTGCCATACTTTCAAATAATGCCCCACGGCAAGGTTCAATCATTGACTGGGTCAAAGCCCTTGGGCCTCATTTTTGCCATCTGCCATCCACATCTTGTCCTTTCCGCGCGTTTAATTTTTGAGGGAGCAATAGTCTTTTCACAGTTCTGTCATTCAGGCTTTCTCATTCGGTCATCACCGCCGAAGAAAGCTGAGATGAGCCTCCGATTCCCCGTCCTGCTGCTGCTCACCTGCCTCGTCGGTCTCTACCTGAATGGGGTAGCCGCCGACTGCTACAGCTGCTACGAGGCCGATCCGGACTTGATCAAGAAATTGGAGAAAGACCGGTGAGTGAGATTCCATATAGCGCCGACAATGTATGTATAGAAAGTGTGGGGTGTCACAAAAATGCAGCTTTTAGAGCAAAACAAAAAGCTGAAAAACTGGTGTTTTTTCGCCTGTAGCCCCCGGTTTCTGAGTCATTCCCCCAAAAAAATCGTAAAAAATAAACCTTAATTTTTTACTAATTTAACCTACGTTTTTGCTTATTTTTGGTACATGTAATAAAATTTTTTTGGCTCCATAAATTTAATTTTTTTTTTCAGCGGCAGCGGTTGGGCGGATATGATCCTGGATATGACAAAGCGCGCAAACTACAGCTCCAACTGTGAAAAAATCTGGGTTTGAACGATTTGAAGTATGTTAAATACTTTCCTAGTGGTGGCCCGTTGACGTGTGCGCGGCTACGACATGCATGCAGATGCTCTACACGGTCACCGCCTACGGCAAGCCGTTCGATGTTGCGTTCCGCGGCTGCGGCGAAATCAAGAAGGGCATCGACTGGGGATTCGTGAGAAGCGTTAATTGTGAGGGTTATGGAACCGCTAAAGCAGTTGAAATCTAAAAAAATGTAGTTCAAAAAGAAAATGTCGAAATCTGGTAAATTTAAAACATTCAAATTCCAAAAATTTCGAATTTTTGTCGTTTTAGGGTTAAAATTAACGATCTTGTTAAAAGATTTTATAATGGGCGCGCATAATTCAAAGTTAACCCCTTACAAACGTAATAAAAAGGGTCAATTTCAAAATTTATTAAATCCAAGATTCTGAAAAATGAAAGTTGCAATTTTTTAAAATAATTAAAATAACAGAATAAAAATTAAATTGTTAGCTCAAAATATCGAAATCTGAAAAATTACAAAAAGAAACGAAAAAAATCAAAATTAAGATAAAAATTTCAGATAAAAGTTTAGAATATGAAACCATTTATAGTCACGATGTACATGCACGCGTGCGAGGGTCCGCTGTGCAACAAGTTGTCGCCGCAGGAGCTGAAGGACGCCACTTGGGAGGGAACCGAAACTAATGACTCTAATAACATCAGTAACACCGTGATTTAATTAGATTTTATGAAATATACCGGAACCTTTTTTTATTGTAAGAAACCAATAAACCGATTCTGTTGCCTTTGTTCTGCGCGTCTCAACAATTTACGAGGCAATTTTTTAATACGTTTCGATCAAAGGCGTTTTAACAAAAAACCAAGCTAGCTCCCCGCTAAAAACAATGGTTAAAATAAAAATCACAGTTTTTGAAAATAATTGGTCCTGGACTGTTAGCGCGGGAGGGATTTTTGCAGCGGGGAAATCACTTTTGGTTTTTCCACATATCTAATTGATAATATATAATATATTCTTATAGTGTTTTAGTAGTTTTTGTTAGCCAAAAAAGTTGTAAAAAATCATATTTTTCGAATAAGATACAACAGCTGCTTTTTTCCAAAAGCTATTCCGAAGCTTTCTATGTTCAATAAAGGTGGATGAATTGTGGCTATTTCTGCCTTAATTAGCTCATAACTTTCGAGAATTGGCTCTTCTGCAAAAACGGTTACACATCACCGCAAAATTCTGCACAAGGCAGGCTTGGTCCAATGCCAAAGCCCGGACGTCACTAAAAAACGTCTCCTTGTGAGCCGATTTTTAACGTGAACAAGCAGGAGACCAGTTGGTGGGTTAGTTCCCCCTTGCACATCACCGATTTATTCATATCACAAATGTAATTCAGAAAAAGGTAAGGATATTGGCAATAATGGCTGTAGTGATGGGGATGAGAATGGTGATTGTGCTGCCGCCGGCCTCCTTTAGCTCGACCACTGTCAGGTCGTTGCACAGATCCCCCTCGCAGGTCCTCAGCCAGAAGTCTACTGCAAAAAAATAGGGTAGCTCAGCCCACGCCCAAAAGATCAGCGTTCCTTTAGAACTTCGTTATAATGACTCACTGCCAGCCTCTTCGCCTTCCCCTTTCAAGTGCACAGCGTCAACTTCCCAGCGCCGATCCCAACCACGCGGCGCGCAATTCCGAGCGTGGAACAGCGTCTTGTGGTCTTGCTCAGCGTGGTACTGGATGCACCTGTGAGACGGGCACTTCCTCGTGGTCCTCTAAAAATGAGATCACTTACTGTAAGAACACTTACTTTTACACGGGTTGGAGATTCGATTCGAGACCGAACCCATCATGTGCGGAATTTTCTGCTGTTTCCGAACTTGTTTTCAAGGGTGGAGCACGATTGTAAAAAATTACAGCTGTTTTTCTCACAAACTGGCCCGAAATGGTCGCTTTTAAATCCCTCAACAAAACTTTTAGAATACTTCAACCCTCGCCATCCCAGCCACACGGCCCTCGTCTTCTGCCCCTTACCCCAGTCAAAACCCTTTCTTTTTTTGATGAATTTTGAGTTACAGTTCCGTAAGATGGATCATTCGAAAGCGCAAATTTGGCAAGAGTCTACTTTACCCACCCCCCCAGCCGGAAGGCCCCAAAAATTTTTTTAAGGCCACCGTTCGGTAGCGCTAGGTCCCAGCTACTATCCCCAGGCCGGGAATTGCGAAAAATAAATATTAAAATTTATATAATTAAAATAATGTCTGAGCGGTTATTCGAATTTTGCTTGTTTTTGCCATAACTATTTCATTTAACATTATTTTGGATTGTAATTAAAACTTTTAGTATGTTTTTTAACGCGTTAAAGTTTTTAAAGTTTTCGAGTGGCGTTAAAGAAATTTTGTAAAAATGTCGAAATGTCGAAAACTAGCTTTGCACCTCTTGTTCCCATAGGGAAATCCCGTTTAAATCTTGTTTTTGCTGTAACTATTTTATATTGCATTATTTTGGGCTGAAATTAAAACTCTTAATACATTTTTTGTTCTATCGAATGGCGCATCGAAAATGTCGAAAATAACGAAAATATCGAAAACTAGCTTTTTAACTCAATTTTTAGAATTTATTTTTGTTTTTGCTATAACTATTTTATTATATATATTACACTATTTTAAGCTGCCATAAAAACTCCTAGTATATTTTTTGATGCTCTATCGGATGGCGTCGAAAAAATCCCGAAAAATAACGAAAATATCGAAAACTTTGCGACCCTCGGGCCGGGCAGTAAACCGTAGCCACAAATTTTTCTGCCGCAGGGTCTGTGTTGATCCAAAACGTATTCTACAAGACTTTTGGTGGGATTTAAGATCGACCATTTTGGGCCAGTTTGTTACAAAAACAGCTGCCGCTTTGAAATCGGGCTCCTCCGCAGATTCGGAAAACAGCTTCGGAATCAGCGAAAAATTCTGCACAAGATCGGATCGGCCTCGAATGAAATTTTCAGCACTGTGTTTCCAACAATTCCCATGTAAAAACACTTTACAGTGAAGCTGCGCAATGGCCACCTGCAAAATCGTGCAATCCTGTGAGATGGTGACGCCTTCGAGGAATTTGTCCACCATCATGCTAAACGATTGGGTGATGTTCTGATTTCGACGGCGCAACAAAAGGGCGGAAAAGAAACCCACGTGTCATTCAGCAATATTTCGATGATTCCTTCGTGTCCTTGCACGCACTGGTAGCAATCGGCCGTCCCCACGTCGAGCAGATAAAAGCCGAGGAGACAGATGAACAGCAGCAGGACATGAGCGCGGGCCGACATTTTGAAGAAGTCTTACTCAAACGCAAAACACCCAACGCCAATTCCTAGCCGCAATGCAAAAATGTGATTCATGAACTCCGGCGCACGATAAACGATTTCCTAAAACAGTAAAATTGGCGTCGTCCTGTAAGCTTTAGCCGAAACAGGCCGATTGTGCGTAAAATCTGCAGTTTTCTTGGACTTTTGTACCAAAGTGTGTCTGAATTCCTCACAACCAGTAAACTCCCCCCGACCGCGAGCCTTTCCCTCATTCAATTTTTTTCACTGGGGAGCGTGGAGAAAATGGCGGACTAGTCGTTGGAGCGAGGGCCCGTACGATGTACCCTAATTTAGAGTCGAATCTGTTTATTCAAGAAATTTCAACAACAGTAACAAAACACGCAAAAACATCATTAGAGGCGGCGTCCGCGATGACCTCCCTTCCTTCGAGTGCTGTCGGACGGGATTGGGGTGACGTCTTCGATGCGGCCGATCTTGATTCCACTTCGGGCGAGAGCGCGCAGGGCGGATTGGGCTCCTGGTCCGGGCGACTTGGTTCGCGTGCCGCCGGTGGCTCGGATCTTGATGTGGAGCGCGTTGATGCCGAGCTAAAAAACAAAGTATAGAATGGATCCAGGCACCAAAAAAAGGCCTAACACGCACGAGTAATGTCTCTATTGAAAGCATACGCAAGCAAAGCCGTTCATAAAAAAAGTACCTGTTTGCAGCGTTCGGAAACGTCTTGGGCGGCGAGCATAGCAGCGTAGGGCGACGATTCGTCACGGTCGGCCTTGACTTTCATTCCACCAGTGACCCGCACGATCGTTTCGCGGCCTAAATTAGAATGTCAATGAACGAGCACCACAGCATTCGGCCCTTTACCAGTTGTGTTCGTTTGACCGGTACAGGATGGCATGCATACAGGGGAAGGGAGAATCTGCGCTCTGGCCCCGCCCCCCTGTTCTCTTCCCCCGTGCCCTATAGCCTAGTCTCACTCTTTCGCCGCCTATTCCGCGCCCTACCCCTCCCCCTCTTTGTCTGCACCCCGCCGTCTAGCGCACTATCCGCCAGCCTACTCACGAACACCGCGGAATCATGTGGCACAGTAAGTTACCGGAAATATCGGTGACGTGAACGAAGGTGTCGTTGAACGAGGCGAAGATGTGCGCGACGCCGAAGACGTTCTCACCCTCGCGAGCTTGCGGGCCCAGGGCGACGACGGGTTGCTCCTCTTTGGTCTTGCCCTTGCGTGCCGGCGCCATCTTCTCTTGTCTAAAACGAGGCAGTAACGAATTTCTACGGATAGCGCTGAACACCAAAGATAATATTCACGGGAAACCAATCCAGTAAAGGATAAGGGCAATGGTTGCAGACCATGACTTTATTCAAAGGACAGTCAAAAGATCAACAAGTATTTATTCGCAACACAAAACAACAATTTAAAACGGGTATTTGTCGGGTTCACCATTGGTTGACCGCGGGGGCTTGTCCCCATTCTTGACCGGCCGGCTGGCCATTCCAGTTGTCGGCGTTGGCCTCGGCCGCCCAGTCCTTGATATCCGGGGCAGCGGTGAAGTCGAGTGGAACCTCGGTGGTGATGGCTTCTTGTTGACCGGCCTCGAATTCTTCGGCGGCTTGCTCCTTCTCGATCTCGGCTGGGTCGCGGAAGAAGTAGAGATCCGGCATGATCTCGGTGTTCTCAATCAGGAACGGTCCATCACGAGACACCTTGCCACGTAGAATGAGCACCTCGCGAGCGAGCAGCCACCACATCAGACCAACAGCTTGTGCGGCCTAAAAGGTAATTAAAAAAACCTAGGAAAAGTTACCTTGTTATTGCACGGAATGGCGATGTCGATCAGCTTCAACGGCGAATCAGAGTTGGTGAACGCGATGATCGGCACGTTGGCGTACGAAGCTTCCGTGACGACCTAACAAAGACAATTATGAAAGATCAAACAAAAAGCTTTTTTGAATACCTGATGGTATTCAAATTCGCGGGTCGGAGATGATGATAATGCGCGGCTCTTTGAAGTTCTTCTGGATTTGATTGGTGAGCGCGCCCGGGGCGAAACGGCCGAAGACCGGGGTGGCTCCTGTGTGCGCAGCATACTTCATCAGGGCTCGGTGGGCGAATTGACGGGCCGAGACGACGATCACATCAGCTGGGTTCTCGACGGCTGCGATGGCACGGGCGGCCAGCAGCAGCTTCTCCCAGGTTTGCTTCAAGTTGATGATGTGGGTGCCTGGAAAAAAAAACAATGAAAAAGGATGGCAGCACAGGCAAAAATGCATAGGGCCAGAAAATGCTTCCAAGAAATCCAAAAAAACTGACCATCAGCGCGTCGTGCGTAGATGTACTGCTCCATTTGGTGGTCGACGTTCGTGGTGCCGATGTGCGTGTAGGTCGCGAGCAGCCTCACCACGTCATCCTGCGCCAGGCTCGAGCTTTCGTATCCGCCGGACATTGCTGAAATGGAAAACTATAAAACGAAAAAAAGAAAACAAAGAAAGCAAGGAAGGACACACAATTTCGCGGAGCTTAAAAAAGCATAATTGGGGCGAAGAGCAAGAGAGAGGTGCGTCAAAAGAGAATGCTTGAAAAGCAAAACGTGACAAGCTGAAACGCGCAGAAGCGAAAAAGAAAAAGATGAAGCGTCCAAAAGTCGGAAAATTGAAATTTTAGGCGGAAAATTCGAGGCGTGGGCTGGGAGGCGGCCACCGTATGAAAGTCCACGATATTGAGGGCCAGGCGGCGGCGAAAGGAGTATTGTCTCGGAATCCTTTTCTGACGAAAATAAATTCGAAATCACTTATATATAAATTTCTAATGTCCGTGCGCCCGTCCGTCCGCCCGTCCGTCCGACCGGATCGCTGCGGGACCCCCAGGACCGGTTCGGACGGGTCCGGGAGCCCGGGGCGTTTCGGGGTTTCGGGATTTCGGTGTATGGGATGTTGATTTATTACTATTTATTACCATTTATTATTATTACTATTTTAAAATGTTTTTCCCTTTTCCCCCCGGGAGGGCCAGCGCTGAACCCCCGCGGAGCGGGGGGGGGGTCAGCGCTGGTAAATATAAAAAAAGGAAAAATAGGGAGGATGTCAGAATCGCCAAAGCAAAAGCGCCAATCACTAAAGCGCGCAGGCAGAAGCGCCAAACGAAAAGCGCCCAACGCCAAAAAGCGCCCAATGCCAAAAAGCGCCCAATGCCAGAAAGCGCTGTTTTCATACGAAAAATGCTGTTTTAGCTGTGTGATCGTTTTTCCGGCTCTAAAAATTAGCACCGATAAAATTTATTATGTTAACTGTTTTATAAAACGGAAATTTATTCGAACAGCAAGAAAAATGCGGAAAAAATCAAGGCATACGTACAAGTTTCAGAAATTGGACAAAATATCGATTTTGGCGAGCGACTTATTCGGATTCATCCGATGAGCGAGCCGCCCTGCGGTGCTTGCGACTCGTCGAGGGCTGATTTGAGTCTGAAAAGATTGTTTTCGGTTTTTTGGTGCGCTAGGTCAACTCTTAAAAGCCTAGAGAGCTTAAAACCTTTTTTCCTCTCTCCTTCAAGTGGTAGGGTTTCAATTATGTATTTGTTACGTTGAAAACTTGAAAAAGCTACAAGTTTTAGTGTTGAAGCCAATGATTCGTTAAAAGAGTAATATTCAGCTGGAAACCAAGATTTTGTTTCCTATTTATGGAGTTTTTGCCTGATCGGAAGGCCGCTAGTTATATTTTGCCAGCTTTAATTTCTTGTTATAATGTTTCTTGTTTTTTAATATTATTTTCTATCTTTTCTGGTGAAAGTAGTGTCATTTTCGCCTCAAAACAACTAGTATTTATGTATTTTCACCCTTACCCAACCTCCGCATTAGCCCAGCTCTCGCCGCTTTACTGCAGCCTAGCCGCCTGACTGTTTCTACTCAAGCGGATACGCCGGAACAGGCCCTCAAGGTTGTTCAGGATGCGGTAAGGGGTAGGAAGAGGCAGGGGAACAAGCGCAAAGACGCCCCGGCAAGCATTTGGGAGCGGAGATCCAGATTGTCGCGCATTTATGCCCCTGCTCGCCGCCCTGTGGCATCGGCTTCTTTTTACCCGAATAGTAGCAGACGGAGAGAAAGAGAGTGCCTGCATTTCCCGCCGAGGGCTAACATTAGCCTAAACAGTCCCCCCGGCGTGGCGTGTCGAGCAGTTGGCCATTTAGTTTTTGCGTCCTTGCCTTTTCTCCTTTGCGATGGAGTCTGGTTTTGCTAGTGTAGCCGAACGGTACGCTGCAGCGCTGTGTTGCGTCCTAGCTGTTGGCATTTTGGGTTCGTGGCTTCATTTTGCTAGTATGACCTTGTTAGATAAAATTGCATTGTTTTGCTTATATCAAATTTGTTGCTAGTTTTGCTATAAGGGTTATCCAATATTTTGTTCTTATCAGATTTTATCGCTAGTTTTGTTTGATATGTTGTTCTAGATTTTAATAACAGGCCGGGCGGGGCCATTTTTTCTGCCATAACGAAATATAAATAATTTTTATAGCATTTTAAATAGTTTCTGGATATAAAGACAATATTATAAAATGACAAAACTTTTCAAAATTTTTGAGTTTGGTCGAAATGTATGACAATGACCAAAAGATCTAAATTTTCGGATTTTCAAAATGTTTAAAAATATTTTTATAACTTCCTAGCAATCAAAAACTACTAAAAACATTATAAAAATACATTCTATCCCACCATAAGGCAGGTATCGGTGGAAAAAAGTGGTTGCTCACCGCGCCCGTTAAAATCCCCCCCGCCCCCTCCCGTAACCGGCCAGAACCGCCTTTTCTCTTGTCGATTCAATTTTCCGTACACCATTTCTTACTAAAAGTCACGCCAAAGCCCTCTACTTCAGCGACTCTATTCCAAAATACTTATCACATACCGTGTTTTCCATTTTCTACACGCCCCCGTGAAGCGCACTTATGCAAGCCGAGTGGCCGTCACGGTTTCGCTACCACTTTTTTGCGGGGTGACCGTGGAATTTGCCATTTTCTGCTTCGATTCCTCTTTGGCGCCATTTGACTTTTTGTTCGGATGGGCGGTGTTGTCGGAAATGAAATTTTCTGGAATTCCCGACTTTGGTTTTCGCTGAAGGCAAGTGCTAGGTGGGATAGAATTATTTTTCATACCCCCCCCCCCGCTAACGAACCAGAACCGAATTTAAATAGAAGACTCAACTTTTGTAAAAATCGGGTACGTTTCAAGCTTGAAGTCCCCCGTTCAGCTTCCCCTAACATTTTCCTCCCCCTGGACAAAACAATGGACAACCGTGTCCGGTTCCGAACCCGAGGTGCGATAGTGTGGACAACGCGTTCCGGATGGGCTAATCCGTGTGTGGGGCCCGCTGACCGGCAGTCCGGGGGGCATAAGCGTGTGTTCGTCCCGGCCTTCTGTTTCTTCTTCTTCCTCCCTCCTCCCCCGGATAGTCCATCCATGTCTTCGTCCACTCCCCCGTTTCCGTTGTTTGTATTCCTGTGTACCCATCGCCCGGGCACGAGCCTTGTGTGCGCGGCGGCGCGCTCTGCTGGTGGGGGTGGTGGACGCTCTAATCCTAATCACAGCCGCCTGGTCGCCCTCGGCCGTGGTGCGACCGCGCACCATTTCCTGTCTCCGTCTTCTTGTTGGTGTTGCGTAACACCCGGGGCGCCGCTCGTCATTTGGTATTTGGGCGAAATTGTTCCTGTTCTTCCTTGTTTAATGGTTTTTGGTCTTCGACGCTAACCTAATTTCTCTTTCTTTCCGCAAAGGATCTTTACTAGCTTGCTTTTTTGGCTGCATGTACACGCTGAACTCGATGGCGTAACAGATCAAATTCCGGTTTTTTTCTAGCCCGACCGATGCCCTCTGACTTTCCGCAAAGGAGCTTTGCTAGCTTACCTTTGGGGGGTTTTCTTGCTACGTGTACTTGTTGAAATTGATGGCGCATGATTTTCAATTCCGTTTTCTTTCTTAGCTTAACCCAATTTCTCATCATTCCCCAGACGTTCTTTGCTAGTCAGCATGATTTTTTAACGCTGGACTGGCTGAACTCGCTGAACGTGATGGTTCAACCTTGTAAAATTCCAGATGTTTTTTTCTAGCTCAACCCATTTTTGTTCTCCAAAGGGTCTGTGCTAGCTTGCCCGATTTTTAATTTCGTACCGGCTGAATTTGATGCTCAGACATTTACAAATGCAAGTATCATTTCCGGTCCGTGTCCTTTTTCGAAAATTCCGAGAAAAACACGATGGATCTGCTTGAAATTCGGTGCGAGACGCAATGCATTTGAAGGCGCATCGGCGGGAGCTCGAAAAATTCAATAAAGGCCATAGAACGACAGCTGTAGAATTTATTAGGTTGAATCGACCATCTTGGGAGCCGCCATTTAAATGCAAATTTCCGGGTTCCGCCTCTTCCCTTACCTGGTTTTGTAGCGGACACATCTTCATGAGCATTTTGAGCTGCAAATTCTCGAGAGTAGCTTCGGGGCTAAATCCCATCCCCCTACCGAGGAGATAATAGATTCAAGGCTGAAGTGGTGGCAAATGGTGTCATTAGCGGCTCTCTCTCCCCCTCTCCGTCTCTCTATCTCTCTCTCCTCTCTCTCTCCTCTCTCTCTCTCTCTCTCTCTCTCTCTCTCTCTCTCTCTCATTCGCATCCATACACCCCTAGGGGAATGTTCCAACCTAATCCTAATCACAGCCTGCGCATATCCTAGAGCCAATTTCCTGTATCGGGCCATTTCTAGGCTCGATTGGTTCGAATTTAGGATTGACTTTCTCGCCTTGGCGTTTTGTCGGCTTAGTTTTATTTTAGACATGCTCAGTTCTTTGATAATCGTAGTCTATTACCATATCTTTGTTCATTAAAGGGACCATGAAGTGGCAAAATCGACTCCTTTCTGCGACTGGGTCTGAACAGCTACGAGAAACACCAAAACCCGCATTTTTTCAGCCTATTTGAAAAGCAAATCTGAATGATGTGACAAAGAGTCGAAGTCAGTGTTTTGGATTGTCGCGGAGCTGTCGAGACCTAGTCGACGGAAGGGTTAATTGTGTCTTCTCTGTCCCTTTAAAAAGAAGTGTAAGCTGTCAATTTTCTGGATAAGTTCTTTAAGATTCCAGAATATCGCCTCCCTAAGTTCAAATCTCCGGAAACGAAAGCTCTTGCTCCATCCCGTCCTTGAACGCCTCGATTCTTTGTATACTTCGCTTTCGCTCTCTCTCGCTCTCTCCCCTCTCTCTCTCTCTAGTTGAGCATAGTTACGACCCGTTAGTAGTAGCAAAGCCGTCTGTCCTTCCTTCCGTCCGTTCGGGCGACCGGAGATGCAAAGAAAAGAACGCTATGAGGGAATAAATGTGTCAGCCTGAACAGTCAGCAGTAGAAGAAGAAGAAAAAGGAAGAAACGAGGGAGCGGCTCCCGTTTAGCACCTCCATTCACCAACCAAATGACG